TGGTTTAAAAAACAAATCTAGATTTTGGGCTGTTTTTACTTTACCAGTCTTTTTTATGGACTCTTAAACTTGGCATATTTGACAATAAACAGCCCCATCAGCCAAGTTTGAGGCAAATTTTCTCCAATATCTTTGAGGCTGCAGCAAAGAGGACATAAGCACTTCATACTAGGACAACTGTTCTGACCAAATCCAAATGTTGGGCTGTTTTTCCTGTACTATTCTTTTTTTCATGGACCCTTGAAAGTGGTATATTTGACACTGCACAGACTTATTGTGCCATCAGCCCAGTTTGTGGTAGCTTTTCTCTGATCTTTTTGATGGTGCGTTAAATTGGATATGAGGGCTTCAAACTAGGGCTACTGCTCTAGAGAAATCCAAATAATGGGCAGTTTTTTCTTTATCAGTCTTTTTTTTATGGACCCTTGAACTTGGCATATTTGACAATACACAGAGGTGCTCATTGCACCATCAGCAAAATGTGTGGTGATTTTCTCCAGGCCTTTTGAGGGTGCATTAAAGTAGACTTAAGGACTTCATACTAGGACTACTGCTCTAATAAAATCCCAACTTTGGGCAGTTTTTGCGTTACCCTTCTTTTTTTATGGACCCTTGAACTTGGCATTTTTGATGATATACAGAGATGCACCAACTGGACTGAAAAGTTCTTCAAATATGCCAAGTTCAAGGAGCCATAAAAATGGATTGGTACCATAAAAGCTGTCAAAAGTTGAATGTTTTTTAGAGCAGTAGCACTACTAGTAAGTTCTTATGTTTGTTTTAATGCACCCTCAAAGGGGTTTGAGAAATCTCGCCTCGAAATCAGCTGAAGTGTGCATATTTCTGTGGAAGCCATTTTAAAAAATGCAACACGAGGCCCTTTATTAAACCACTTAAATGCATCCCATTTGTTTAAAGGGGAGGTTCACATGTCGGTAAGAAAAAACGTAACGTTATAGTTTCAGCAGTGCTTTTATAGGAGACTTGACTCATTCCCAACAGTACAGTCTTGTGTCCGGTCACATGGGTTGATCAGGAAAAACTGAATGGTAAATATCCAAATACTGCCCAGTGA